TCTATTTCAATCCTATTATAGTATGATCCTCACTCAGGATTATTTCTGTAGACCAAGGCGTTTAGTTCATACTAGACAACCTGTGTCCCATTAGGTCAGTGGTGGCTAACCTTTTTAGGCTCCTGTGCCAAAAATTGCGCATGCACCGGTGCGTACACACTTGTGTGCCAGCACCCAGAATGCAATGCACGCGCCCCTCCCCACACTCCCTGTGCATACGCGTTCAATCCCCCCACCGCCCCCTTTCCTGAACTGCGCCTCACAGCCGATTTTTTTTCCCCAGTTGGTTTGAGGCCTTTTTCGGCCTCTCAGAGGCTTGGAAAAAGCCTCTGCAAAGCTTTTCAGGAGAATTATAGGCCCGTTTTGTCACTTTCGGAATTACAGGAAGTGATGAAATGGGCCTATAATTCGTCCTAAAATGCCTTGCAGAGGCTTTTTCCAAGGGAGGAAAAAGGAGGCCGAAAAAAAAAAAATGGGGAAAAAAAATCAGCTGTGAGACGTGCGCATGAGCAGTGAGCAGGTTGCCTGCGGCTTGCGTGCCAACACAAATGGCTCTGCGTGCCACTTGTGGCACACGTGCCATAGGTTCTCCATCACGGCATTGGGTCATAATTTCAGAGATATTTTCTTACCAGATTCCTCAGTTCCTTCAATACAACTTCTCAAATACTGCCTTCACTCAAAAAGTTGGGATATCTTGAGAGATATATCTGCCTTGAAAATAACCCATTGAATTGTATAGTGTAGCTAAACAACAGCACAGGAAATGCTTTATAACATTCAGTATTACATCATAATCACCTTTATGATAATGTTTATGTCATAAACTGTTATATAAAATTTGCCAAATCCACGGGAGCCATAGGTTGCAGAATTTGGACCTATTCTGTAAATTAGCCCATTTGAGGGTACCTTGGTTCAAAAAATGATGCTCAGTGATGCACCATTTCACCCAATTCAAGGTTGCAGGGAATCACAATTTTAGTAGTATGTTTTATATATCTCTCTCTCATTTGGAAACATAAAATCTTTCTTGAGTTGACCTCAACTCAGTGATGACATCTTGGCAACAATAGTTTAGCCATTACCTTCTTCTGGTATAGACATCTCCTGATTTATTTACTTTTATTCAATGGCAAACATGAAAAAGTATTTGTATCTGTTAGGGATACAACACCCTAGCAGAACGTGCAACGGCAGTCAAGCAGACAGAGAGTGTGTGTGAGATAAAGCATTGTTGTAGCTTTACAATCAGTAAGACAGATACACTGTGCAATTAAATAGTTTTTATTCCAGCAAGAGTTATAGCATAGTCAAAGCAGTCCATATGTCATACACTAAGTTCAGACAGTCCGAGGGTTATTCAGTTTGCAAAGTCCAGTGTAGAAAATAGGTCGTTCAACTCACAAACAATCAGTCCAATGATGTATCTCTTTTGCAGTCAGAGATATGAAGCAAAATCAAACCTTCTTTTCTTCTCTCAGCAAACGCACGCAGTAATCACCATCAATCCTTCTCTGTCAGCATTCCAGTAAAAGCCGGCGAACAGTGAGCTCTCTTGCTCCCTCTTATGGCAATTTACAACCGCACCCAAATACTTGGCTTACAGTTTAAAGTGACACACACATTTAAACTAACAAACATATATTATATTTAGCCAAACTAAGTTAGGTAACCAATGTTATCCCTAACAGTATCCAGTGATGTCCACCACGGAGGATCATAACAAGCACCATAGTAGTCAATGGCAGTGTGAACCTAAACCCTGCCCCTTTGCACATGTATGCAATGTCAAAAAGCATAAAAAGGCTTGGTCTCTACTACAACAACTGCCATCTGGTTTTTTTTATCATCCTCGTGGATGTCCCATTTTCTTCTCACGTCCCAATGCGCCTTTCATCCTTTTTCATAACTTCAGTTAAGCGAACATACCTATGGTTCTCAGCATTTTCCAACTTTCCACTCAATCCTGCTTTGTTTTTTTAGATCAGCCAAGATCATCTTGACTGATTTTTAGATCAGCCAAGGAGTATCCAACCTCGACAACTTTTAAGATTTGTGGACTTCAGCTCCCAGAATTCTCCAGCCAGCATGGGAGTTGGCTGCCTAGGGAATTCTGGGAGTTGAAGTCCACAAGTCTTAAAGTTGCCAAAGTTGGACATCCCTGATCTAGGTGTTTCCACCTGCTGTAATTTATCAGAAAACGCAGGCAGCATGCTTTATGTTAGAAATTGAATTGTTCATGAAGATATTTGGAATGGATGGGGAAGATTCAGGAAATAGTTGATTGATGATAAGGAAACAAAATCTTTCATGGAGACCAGGAATGGAAAGGACAATTTATTCAATTAATTAAAAAAAATTGCTGTAATAGAGGTGTTGGTGGACATTAGCTGAATGGTGAGTAGCTTGCAAGGTTGTCATTGGAGACAACCTCTATAGACATAAATGTTTTGTTAACCTGGACTTAAAGTTTAAACCATTATATTTTATGGGAAGAAAGGCCCTGAGAAGCATCATCTCAAAACTCATTTTCTGCTTGATAATGTGGGATGGATACATTGGTACAGGGAGTCCCAAAGGTGCTTTTTCAAGAGGCAACTGGGCTTCCTTGTTTTTCTTTGAAAATGTTTTGCTTCTCATCCAAAAAGCTTCCTCAGCTCTGACTGGATGGTGGGGAATGGAAGATTTTACATATATTCCTTACAGGCAGCTGGTCATTTGCATCCTTTTATAGAGTCATTGAGGCCACTTGGAGGTTTATCTGTGTCCTCAGGGTCATCTGAGTAGTGCTCAGCTTTTTCTTGTTTGTAACTTGATGTCAATGTTGGATTCTTTTGTGCCTCAGATCAGGAAGCGCCACTCAAGTGGAAGCACGTCAGAAGACCGCTTTGCCGCTTCGGCCAGAGATTATGTGGAATCGTTGCACCAGAACTCACGGACACATTTATTGTATGGAAAGAACAATGTGCTGGTTCAGCCAGTAAGTGCTTAAGAGTACAGGAAGCCCTCAACTTACGACCGCAATTGAGCCCAAAATTTCTATGGCTAAGTGAGACAGTTGTTAAGTGAATTTTGCCCCATTTTACGACCTTTCTCACCACAGTTGTTAAGTGAATCACCGCAGTTATTACATTAGGAACACGGCTGTTAAGGGAATCCGGCTTCCCCGATGACTTTGCTTGTCACTAGGTCACAAAAGGGGATCATGTGACCCCGGGACACTGCAGCCATCATAAGTATGAGTCAGTTGCCAAGCCTCTGAATTTGGATCATATAACCATGGGGGTGCTGCAGTGGTCGTTAAGTGTGAAAAATGGTCATAATGGTCACTTTTTCCAGTGCCGTTGTAACTTCATTCACTAAACGAACTAACTGTATAGTAGGTCATATACCAGTAATCTTTGACTTACAACCACAGCTGGGATCAGAAAATTTGATAGTATGGTTGTTAAGTGAGCTATCGTGACTGCACCCAATTTTACATATTTTTTGCTGCAGTCTTTAAGCAAATCAGTGCAGTCAATAAGCAATGTATCATATGAACTCGATTTGCAATTTCCCTGCCAGCTTCCCCATTGACTTTGCTTGTTGGAAGCCATCTGGGAAGGTTACAAATGGCAATCACATAATCCTAGGGCAATGCAATTGTCGTAAAAGTGAGCGCCGAGGACCCAGATCACAGTCAAAGGAGTCCCAGGGATTCTGCAACAGTCGTAGGTTTGAGGACTGTGCTTAAGTCATTTTCTTGTTGTAACTTCAAATGGGCACTAAGTGAAAGGTCATAAATTTAGGATTACCTATCTATGGAGATTCCCAGTCATCCAGGTCATGGTTGTCCCAAAGGTGCTTTTTTTTCAAGAGGCAATTGGACTTTCTTGTTTTTCTTTGAAGATGTTTCACTTCTCCTCCAAGAAGCTTCTGCAGCTCTGACTGGATGGTGGGGAATGGAAGGATTTATATTCCTTGCAGACAGCTGGTCATTTGCATTCTTTTAGAGAGTTAAAAAGAAAAAGGCTACTCATTTGAGGACAGCAGAGTCCACATTTTGGACAGAGAGGCCATCTATGTCAAAATTGAACTGGTTTGAAAGAGGCCATCTATGTCAAAATTAACAGCCCTCCCTCAACAGAAGGGGAGGGATACCAACATCATCTATCTCCAGTCTACAACACAGCCCTTTCAGCAGTTCCAAGAAGGCTCCACATCCATTTGCACTACTCAGGTGACCCTGAGGATACAGATAAACCTCCAAGTGGCCTCAACGACTCTAAAAGAAGGCAAATGACCAGCTGTCTGCAAGGAATATAAATCCTTCCATTCCCCACCATCCATTCAGAGCTGAAGAAGCTTCTGGGATGAGAAGCGAAACTTCTTCAAAGAAAAACAAGAAAGTCCAGTTGCCTCTTGAAAAAGCACCTTTGGGACTCCCTGTGCCAATGTATCCATTCCACATTATCAAGCAGAAAATGAGTTTTGAGATGATGCTTCTTAGGGCCTTTCTTCCCATAAAATACTTACTTTTTTTGTAATGGATTAAACTTTAAGTCCAGGTTAACAAAACATTTTTGTCTATGGAGCTTCTCAATCATCCAAGTCATGGTTGTCCCATAATTATCCTGTGGTTGGAAAAGCACCTTTGGGACAACCATTCATTTAGTGACCATTCAAAGTTACAACAGCAGTGAAAAAATTGACATGACCATTTTTACACTTATAACTGTTGCAGCCTCCCCCATGGTCAAATGATCAAAATTTGGACACTTGGCAACTGGCATTTATTTATAATTTAAATACATGTATTTGCAGTGTCCCAGGGCCTTTTGATCACCTTTTCCAACCTTCCAATAAGCAAAGTCAACTTAACAACTGCAACAATTCACTTATCAACTGTGGTAAGAAAGGTCATAAAATGGAGCAATATTCATGTAACATCTGTCTTGCTCAGCCAACTGAAATTTTGGCTCAAGTGTGGTCGTAAGTCAGGGACTACCTGACCTTCAGCAAATGTCCAATATTTCTGTCTTGTTGTTTCTTATCACCATTGGGGTCACTTTTGGAACAGAAAGACGACATGGAGGCCATTCCAGGATATCTGTCACTTCATCAGTCTTCTGATTCTTTAACTCTGAAATGGACACCAAATCAGCTCATGAATGGGAACCTGGGGGATTCGGAACTGGAGAAAAGGTAAGTCATTCCTTGGGCGAAAGATTAAAGGTAGCAAGGAAAAAGACATATAGATGTGCTCCTAGCTCCTAGCAAATTCCAAAGTATTTTCAGCAAAGTATCCTTTATTAAATTCTAAATTTAATAGCAAGAGCAACAGTGTGGAAAAGCAATTCAAGAGCAATAGTGCATGAAGAAAGCTGTGTTAATCTATGGTAGCAAAAAACCAGGAGTCTGCTAACATCTGTTTCTCATTCACAAATTTTATTCAGAATCGCAACTTTTGCAAGGTGTGGCTGGGTTTGTCAGATTGAAATGTTTTTCAGCCTTGACATCTTTAAGAAGTTTGGACTTCAATTCCCCAGCTGGGGAATTCTGGGAGCCATCTTAAAGTTGCTAAGATTGACAAACACAGGACTAGACTGTTGTAGGATTTAAAGTAGGATGATGCCAGGGAAGCGGGAAGGGGAGGTGAAGACAAAGTTTTAATACAAATACAAGTTACAGGTTGTTGAGGTAATTCCCCGTTAGGAGAATGAGCGCACACAGGGAGACGTAGTGAGAGTAGTGAAGAATAACACACACACAGCACACAGCCACACTGTATAGTAAAATGTAGGTTTTTATTTCCAGTAAAACGGTTAAGCAAATTCCAAACAAGCAGTCCAAGTCATTCACAGTTAAAGCAGTCAGTTTTCAGTTCAGGGATAATCCAAATAACAAAGTCCAGAATCAAAAACAGTTCAGTAACAGACTTACATCACATCCAAGACTAACTATGATCAGTAACACTCAATAGGAATGGCAACACTCTCCAGGACAACAGAACAGGACTAAAACAACCCAGGTTTCTGGCTCCATCTTATGGCTGTTTGAGGAACCACACCCAATTACAGTTTTAGCATTCTCTTAAAGAGACAGTATTAAAATGTCTATCCTGGTTTATATATTTTCCAACCCAACTGTTAGGTGACTTACATTCCTAACATTCTCCCCTTTGGGTAGGACAATATATACAATATATACAACCTTACATTCTAAGTCCATAATCCTCACAGCAAGCCTTATGCTTTATAGAGCCTTGGGCTTTTGTATAATAATCTGCAATATTATTTTCTCACATACAGTATTCCAGTTTAATCATCTTACTTTGCATACATTGTCTCACATTTAAATATCTTAAATCTGTGTGTTTTGATCTTGTCTTAACAGCAATATTTGAAGCCATCTGTATTGCTGATTGGTTGTCTTCGTAAATAACAATAGAATCTGTTACATCAATTCCCGTATCAATTAATAATTGCTTATAACAAACTAAATCTGTACATAGTAAAGACAAACATGAGAATTCAGCCTCCATTGTTGACAAACTTAGATGTTTCTGTCTAATAGACCTCCATCCAATCAATGCTTTTCCCAATAATACCACAGTACCGGATGTAGATTTTCGTGTATTTATGTCTGTAGCAAAACTTGCATCAACATATGCGGTTAAATTCAGTTCATCTTTAGGCTCCAAATATAATGCATAGTGCATTGTTTGTTTCAGATATGTTAACGTTTAGCAGCTTGCCAGTGCCTTTCAGTTGGCTCAGCATTAAATTACGCTAATTGGTTAACACAGTATGCTATATCTGGCCTTGACCAATTACTGAGATAAGATAAACTACCAATCAAGGACTGAAAAGTGTTCTTATCAAAAACAGGACTTTGAACATCACTATGGCTAAACTCCTGGCTCATCAGTGTTTTAGCCGATTTACAAAGTTTCATTTTAATTTTTTTTAGTAATTGGCTAATTTTATCTGCCTGTGAGATTTTGTATCCTCCCCTAAGTTCTATCTATCTTTAAACCAAGATATTATTTCATTTCTCCTAACTGTTTTATCTTAAATTTCCTCTCTAACAGTGAGATTATTTTAGTAGCTTCTTGTTCAGTTTTGGTAATTAATGCTATGTCATCAGTAAACAATAGCAACAATGAAATTACACCATTACTTTTTCTTTTAAACAAACATGGATCAGCCATGCCAGCTACAAAACCTATCTTAGTTAATTCCTTAACTATACATTGGTTCCACTCATATCCTGATTGCTTTAAGCCATAAAGACTCTTTTTCAATCTCCAGCAATCAGTTGTATTATCATTTTTTAGACCTAAAGGTTTCTTTAAATATATAGCGTGTTGCAACGGTGCATGCAGATATGCCGTCTCTACATCCAAACGATTTACAATGTATTCCTCCTTAGGTGCCCACACTAATGCTGCTTGTAATATAGTAGCCTTCAGACTAGGTGCAAACACCTCATCATAGTCATTTGCTGTCTGATTGAACCCTTGTGCTACTAACATGGTTTTATGGGTAACAGTCCCATCTACACCTGTCTTAAGTTTATAAACCCATTTACATCCTATGGCATGTTTACCAGATGGTAACTTAACATTTTCGTATACCTCCAATATTTTTAAGGATTCCAGTTCCTTATCCATTGCTTTCTGCTAAGCGGCCTGATCCTTAGCAGGATACAGTTTTAGCTCATTATAATTACTTGGGACTGTATTCACTTGGCATACAACACTAGCCTGATATCTATCAGGTGGTCGTGTTACAAGGGTTGAACGTCTTGGTAATACAGGGCTTACTGGTGGACTCTCCTGTTCCACCTGCTCCTGTTCTCCCACCTCCTCCTGTGCCTGTTCTTCCTCTTTAATGGCTGTTTGTGGTTTACTTATTTCAACTTTAGGGACTATTTGGGTGTCAATAATAACATCATTGCTGGATTCCTGTTCCAGTTTATCCCACCCAACGTGCTCAAGAAATTTTGCACTAGCACTACAATAAACATGAGCTGTGCCTTGATCCCAAAATCTAAACGATCAATGATTGGCTTCGTAACCTACGAAAAATAATTTCTTAGCTCTATGTTGCCCTTTCAGTCTTACTTGTGAGGGAATATGCACCCATGCTGGTGCTCCAAATGTGTGTAGATAACTTAAATTTGGCTTTCTGCCATGCCAACGAGTGAATGGCAATTCTCCAGTTGTTGTATTCACCACATTGTTTAAAACATGGTTACTACACATTATGGCTTCACCCCACAGTGTTTCAGGCAAACCTGAATCAGATAACATAGTGCGAGCCATGGCTTGTAATGTTTGCCCTCTTCGTTCTACAAACGAGTTATGCTGTCGTCTGTAAGGTGCAGAACGTTTATGCTCAATACCAGCCAATTTCAACATAGTTCGGAATCTTTTGTTAAATATGGACCAGCTGCTGGTCACTCAGATTGCAAGAATTTTATCAAATAATAACTGCCATATGTTAAAACACATTCCAACTAACCAACTCCTAACCAATAGCCTCTGAAACAAGCATTTTCTCAAAGTTCCATTTTGTTAGAGTTGTCATACTGGCACATTTGGGAAAACCCGAATCTGAGACTTCCGGGTATTCCCCTCCCAAAGAAATTCAAAGATCCATCCCCTGCACCCACCAGTCCATCACATGGCCCAATAAAATGCTGTCCAACTGGAGACATTCCTCCAGACACTCCTCTCCAGGTGCAGGGTAACATGTCCTTGACTTTCTAAGAAAGAACGTTGTTGAGTCTAATCTTCCACCTCTCTGTGAAATCCCCCCTCCCAAATTCCCAGGCACTAAATGTGGCAGCCTCGAAGCTTCCAAGTAAAATATGGCTTCCAAGGCTGACAAACTCGTTGTGTTGTAAGACTTCTTGGATACATCTGGCTTGGCTGTAAGCTGAGGGCATATATACCCATCCAGTACCTGATTTTTTTCATGTAAACAATGCTGCACTTCATTGACGAGATGGATTAAGGGCCATCTTCATAGTTGTTGTCATTGAATATGATTCCACGTCCAATGGTGTTGTTTAGTATCTTAAAGTCCAGTTTTCTATGCATGAATCCAAATTACAGCTTTCTTGATAGATGGTGGCCTTGCCTCTGTTTAAACCCCTGAAGGGAATGGAAATCCATCCTTCTCTTTTCAACTGTTGTCACACTTCAGTGTCATTATGATCTCGTTTTCAGCATCTACTGGGACTACGCCTTGATTGTACCGTTCAGCCAAATTGTCTGCATCCACTGCCATCAACAACGTAAGTCTTCGTATGTGATGGGTTTGAACACCTACAACAGAAGCTAGCAGTGATTTAAGAGAGCATCTTTTCTCAGAGTTGCCATAACTGGTGAAATCTGTCTTGAAATAACACATTAATCACATTAATTTATTAATGAATTGCACCAATTTCATGTGGTGGGTGATTTAACTTGGTACGCATCCACTTTAATTGAGTGCTGTCAGAGAAGGAATTTGAAGTGGCTGGAGAACTTTGTGATGATCTCCAGAACATAGGATGATTAATGTGTTGAATAAAATAAACTAGTAATTGATGAAACAAAATGATAGAATCAAGGTCACATGAAGTGTTAATACCACTTTATAATGCCTTAGTAAGGCCACACTTGGAATACTGCATTCAGTTTTGGTCACAGTGTAAAAAAGATGTTGAGATTCTACAAAGAGTGCAGAGAAGAGCAACAAAGATGATTAGGGGACTGGAGGCTAAAACATATAAAGAACGATTGCTGGAACTGGGTATGTCCAGTTTGATGAAAAGAAAGGACTAGGTGTGACATGATTGCAGTGTTCCAATATCTCAGGGGCTGCCACAAAGAAGAGGGAGTCAAGCTATTCTCCAAAGCACCTGAAAGCAGGGCAAGAAGCAATGGGTGGGAAACTGAACAAGGAGAGAAGCAACCTAGAACTAAGAAGAAATTTTCTGACAATTAGAACAATTAACTAGTGGAACAACTTGCCTCCAGAAGTTGTAAATGCTCCAACGCTGGAAGTTTTTAAGAAGAGATTGGAGAACCATTTTTTTTTGAAATGGTATAGGGTTTCCTGCCTAAGCAAGGGGTTGGACTAAAAGACTTCCAAGGTCTCTTCCAACTCTGTTATTCTATTCTATTTTAAATAAGCAGACAATTTCTTTTGTATGGGGGTAGGGGAGAGAGAGAGTGCTGCAGTGACAAACATGTAGCCTATGAAAAATATATCTGGCCCTCCCCACCAGTAAATGCTCATTTGGAGTGGCATTCTGTTTATGCAGTCTAGAACTCTGTTGGCTTTTTTGGCAGCTGCAGCATGCTGATGGCTCATATTTAAATGATTGTCCACTAGGACTCCCAAGATCCCCCTCGCAGTTACTTAGGGGAGTGGAGGCTAAAACATATGAAGAACGGTTATATGGGCATGGCTAGTCTAGTGAAGAGAAGAACCAGGGGAGATATGATAGCAGTCTTCCAATACTTGAAGGGCTGCCACAGAGAGGAAGGGGTCGAGCTATTTTCCAAAGTATCCAAAGGCCAGACAAGGAATAATGGATGGAAACTGGTCAAGGAGAGATTCAGCCTAGACATAAGGAGAAATTTTCTGACAGAGACCAATGGAACAGCTTGCCTTGGGAAGTTGTGGGAGCTTCATCACTGAAGGCTTTCAAGAAGAGAATGAACTGCCATCTGTTAAAAATGGTGCAGGGTCTCCTGCTTGGGCAGGGGTGGTTGGATTAGGTGATCCATTCCAATTCTGTTAATCTGTTTTTAAAAAGCTTACCTCCAGTTGCAGATCACTAAAGGTTTTTAAAATAGACTAGACAACCATTTGACTAGGATGGTATGAGACTCCTGCATTTAGCAGGGGGTCGGACTAGAAGACCCACAAGTTCTCTATCAGGCCTATGATTCTATGATTCTGAGAAATAGATGTGCAAGGCATTCCTAAGTAATTTCTTTAAAATGGACTTTGGATCCTGCTTCACTTCAACAACGGGTTGTGTTTTAGGATTGCAGTTCTATTGTGCCTTTTGTTGCTGTGGTTTTTAAAGAAACCAATAGCAAGGAACATTTCTCCCTGCAGCTGACCAAGGTGGGACTTTGGTGCTGGTGAGCCAGGATGGTATCCAGAGGCCCCCACTCCATTTTCCACCTGGTGGACATCTCCTGGCCTTCCTTTCTTGCCTTGAGAATGGCCTCCTGCCCCGTGGACAGCTGGAGCCTCCATTGTGGTCCCAACAGGGAAAGGTAAGGCTAGAGACTCCAACTCTGTAGAATCATTGCTCTGCTTCAGCCTTCTCCAACCTGCTACTACCGCTAATTAACACATAGTCCTTGTTAAGCAAGGACTATCTCTCTGGAGGAGGATTGATGGGCATCAAGTTCTAGAGTAGGGATGTCCAACCTTGGCAACTTCAGCCTCTTGAATGGGGCTTGGGGAGGAGTTTCCCATGTGCTCAGATACAAGGTTTTATCTGGTCCAGGTGGCATTTTTTTCCTTTTGTTTCCTTAACAACTTGGCACTTTCTAAACTTTCCCAAGGAATCTTTTAAATAACATTCTTGGCTTTTGGTCCTCTCTGCTTACCTGCCTGCTTCATCTTTAGGTATGGCAGCTTCAGCCTCATCTCACACCACCTTGTCTTGCAGGGCAAAGTTTTTCCAAAGCTCCGGAAACGAAACAGCTACAACCGGTCGATGGACATGGAAGAAATGCCATCGGTCATGGAGACGGCTACTGATTACGTCTTCCGGATTATTTACCCAGGTCACAGGCACGAGAACAGTAAGGATTTCTCCTCTTCTGGTTTCACAGACTATGAGAGAAAGGGAGCGTGCAGAAATGGAGGCTTGCAATCCTGGCATTTCATCCAAACAAATTCTTAAAATGAATTCCAGGTGGTCCTCGAATTACAGCCACAATTGAGCCCAAAATGTATGTTGCTCAATGAGAAATTTGTTAACTTAGTTAGTTTTCCTCTTGTTATGACCGAATCACTGCAGTTGTTAAATTAGTAACCTGGTTGTTAAGTGAATCTGGTTTCTCCATTGACTTTGCTTGTCAGAAGGTCGCAAAAGATGATCACATGATCCCAGGACACTGCAACCATCATAAATGGAAGTTAGCTGCCAAGCATCCAAATATAAATCATATGACCATGGGGATGCTGCAATGGTTGTAAGTGTGAAAAACTCTCATAAGTCACTTTTTTCAGTGCCATTGAAACTTTGAATGATCACTAAACAAACTGTTGTAAGTTGAGGACTACCTGTATAAGCCTCTTAGTATGATGTATACTGTGGGAGATGGGGAAATTTAATCTCTCAATATCCTCAGATCTATGGTGAGAGCCAGAACTTCTGTTCTATTCTGCAATTTCAGGGAGCTGACAATCAGGATTTCGGTGTCCGCAGAATAAGGAGAAGTAAAATTCCTATAGTGGTCATAACCCAAATCTTTTGTGGGAAATTATATAAGATTGTTGCAATTCTGATATTGAGGTTGCTAAACCAGAATTGGAAACCTACAATCTTGCAAGAATTAACTCTGCACCCTTTGTAGGACCAATGTGTTCCCACTCCTGCGCTAACCCATAATTAAGTGCTGAGATAAAACAGCTTTATAAGCTGTATTGTGGATGTTGCTTTGGTTAACCAAAATTAAGATTAACATCAAATGTGTCTGTGTTTGAATGGCCCAGCAAAAATAAATGAAAGGACAGCCAAGCCTTTAAGTTTTCTTGTCACATCAATGCATAATGTTGGGACTTGTGTAATTTATTCTTATTATTCTGAATTACTGTTTTTTTGCTATCAGATCAGAATCAGCTAGGTGAGTTCTACTTTACGTTCAGGCCAGGGGGATTGACTGGTGACATAATACTGAGGCATTTGGAGGACATTTTTATGCCTTTTATTTTTTCTGTGTATACAAGTTGACCAACTCCAGATGGATTAGAAGTAGAAGAATCTGTTTCGGATCCATTCTAGTTGATCCATTCTAGTGATTTCTCAACCGAAATGTTCTGACCAAGATTTCCTGCAACCGTAATTAAGCACACGCTTAGTCCAAACCACTCTTGTTTTATTTCAACGCTGGGAATTATGTTCATTCCCAGCCCGTAATGAGTCCCAAACAGTCTCTCGAGATAAGCACCCACCTTTATCTTTGAATTGCTGCCAACAACTAAAGTGCCAAATTAACTGAAAAAAGCCAAATGAAGTACAAAGGCCACTCAGAGCTTCAAGGTTTAATCCGAACAGAGTGAACGACTTTGCTTCCTGCAAAGGTTTCTCTACCTTTGCATTTCCTTTATACCTTATGGGAGGGGCAATCACCTCCAAGCCTTACTCCCGAGTTGCCCCTTTTGTTTTAGCTGCTCTTGCCTTCTGGCAGCTCTGCACACTTGTGCACGGGGAACAGGCTCCCCTTGTTCCTCTGCCTTGCTGCTGCCGGATTCTGGAGGTTCCGAAATTAGCACATAATTCTCAGATGGCCCTGGTCCGATCTCTGTATTGGATGCAGGACCCTCGTCCGAGTCCTCTCCAGACTCCCTGGCTGGTCCCCGTTCTTCCCCACTGTCCGATTCTGCTGCCGTCTGCACAGGCTGCCAGCAAACCACAACACTAAACTACTTCATTGGATAGTCCTTCTGAATGTAATTGAGCCCTGCAGTTATAGTTATAAATCGTGACAGTCGTAAACTGGGTCACTACATAACCAGACCTGATTTTACAACCACATTTTTTACGGTGGTTGTTTAGTGAATGTGGCAGTGCCAAGACATTATGTGAACCCATTGTGCAGTACAGGGCTGTTTTTGCCAGAAACTGGATGTAAACACTGTTTTCTGGCAACAATACTGTAAATTGTGAACCTATGACTGTGAAATGCTGCAAATGGCCATAAATGTGGACCTCTTGCTAAGAGCCCAAAATGTGATCATGCGATCATAAATGTGGTCTGGACATCGTAACTAGGAAATGAGATCCTAAGTTGGTTTTTTTGTTTTATAAAACTTGTTGGCCGCCCATCTTACCCCAAGTTCCTTTTGAGGGGAGGGGTCAATTGCAACTTTGAACAAGTCCCTAAGTGACAGGTCATAAGTTGTAAAGAGAAAGAGAAATACATGCGGTCTTTTGCTCCAGGAGAAGTGGAAAATTGATGAAAAAACATTCACTGCATTGTGTAACATCCTAAACTAGGCTAAAACTGAGCTGGGTCAATTGTAGATCATCACAGTGTAGAAGCCAGCCATTATTTTAGGCTATTGAATGAACCTGGCCCTCATTTTAAGCCAAGATACGGTTAATAAACCATATGATGATTCATAGGAATAATATATTATCTGAATATGGAAATTTGGCTTTGTTCATCTTAGTCTAGGGTTGCATGTGTGCCCCTGAAATGGCCTTCCATGGAGGAAAAGGTAAGGATTTTATGAGCAGAATCTGGTGGATTACATGCAAGTTTGACCGATTGAGTAATCTACTAGCTAACACCTTACGAAAACATCACCTGTTGTGCACCAGTATTTGGATGAGAGAGATACAAACTCAGGGTTGGGTAGAGAAGAAGTTGGAAACTAAAAGTTCCGCAAATCCATGAAGGTGGAATGATATCCTGACCCCTAAAGGAGGGGAGGACCACATGTCCTTTTAAGACTTGATTGTCAATCCTGGCACCCGTTTTGTTTTCTTATGCTCCTCTTTCACTATTTTTTTGAGCAGTAACTATTAACTACCACCACTTAGCTGCCAGCCGCTCTGCCTCCGTCGACGATGACGAGGAGGAGGAAGACAAACTGCACGCAATGCTATCCATGATCTGCAATCGGAACCTCACAGATTCTAAAAGGATGAAAGGTTTTTATCCTTCTCCTCCCTGCCCTCACTTCATTTCTCCCACTGGCTCTGGAGCAACACCTGCCCACTCAATGTACAACAGTGTTGGCATTACTGCAATGTCAGCCCACTGCTGGGGCACCCTTATGAGTCAGGGAAAGCAACGGCATGGAAAGAGGAAGAGAAGAGAACACGGTCTCTCTTTCCAGCCTATCGAAGAGAAGGATTGGGGGTGAGGGGGGAAAGAGAAATGATAACTGTCTTCTGGGACGAGGGGCTGTCACAGAGAGGAGGGGGTTGACTTATTTTCCAAAGCACCAGAGGGCAGGACAAGGCACGATGGGTGGAAGCTTGTTAAAGAGAGATCCAACCTAGAAGGAAGGAGAAATTTCCTGACAGTGAGAATGATTCATCAGTGGAACACACCTTGCCTCCTGGAGTTGTAGGTGCTCCATCACTGGAGGTTTGCAAAAATAGACTGGACAGTGCAAAAATAGACTAGACAGCCATTTGATGCTTGTCTTTTGACCTAGGCTTCCCCAACAGCATGAAGCCATCTTGATAAACCCCTTTTATTTAATTTAGAATGAATTTCCTCTCCAACAAAGTCCCGCCCAACAGTCTTTCAAGGTAGTTCCCAATTACAGACTTTTATCAGGCTTGGAGAGTGGCCAGGCTGATATCTTTCAGATGCTGGAATACTTGGCAAGCATGCCGGAATGAACTAATTGTCTCCTGTAAAGCCCCACTCCCCTTTTGCTCCTCTTTTATATTCTAGGAGAGGGGTCATTCACCATCCACCTGTGGCTTTAATCCCAAATCTGTCCTTGTTCCTCAGCTGCTCCCTTCTTCTGCCAATTCTGAGCATGCGCACACTGGGAACAGGCTCCAGCTGTTCTTCTGCCTCACTGATGTCCGACTCCGAAGGCAGCTGATAACTGTCAGAAGGCCCTGGCCCCATCTGACGCAGAGCACTTGTCAGAGCCTTACCCAGACTCCAAGGCTGGCCCATTTTCCTCCCCAACCTCCTCACTGTCCAGATCTGTTGGGCCACAACAGCTTGCTTCAGAAGTTGTGGGTGCTCCATTCACTGGAGACTGGACAGCCACTTGTCTGGAATGGTATAGGGTGTCCTGCTTGAGCAGAGGATTGGACTAAAACAGGGGTGTCAAACTCAATTTCATTGAGGTCCGCATCAGGGTTGTGTTTGACCTTGGGGGGCTGGGGTGGGTGTGGCCACGATGGGCATGGCCAGCTTGATGTCCCTTGTGTTGGGGACACCTGTGGTGGCCCGAGTGCTCTGCCAGTGAGAACGGGCTCCCAAACTCCGTCTTTAGCTGCCATAGCCTCCTGCAATCCTCTGCCAGTGAAAACGGAGCTCGGAAGGGCTGCACGCGGCATTCCTGAACTCCGTTTTCATTGGCAGAGGGTTTCAGGAGGCTGTGGCCGCCGAAAAGGGAGTTTGGGAGCCCATTCTCACTGGCAGAAGCAGGCTCCCGGGCCTTGAGTTTGACACCCCTGGACTAAAAGAACTCCAAAGGTCTCTTCCGACTTTGTTATTCTGTTATATTCTGTTACGGTCTCCTGCCTTGAGCAGGAGGCTGGACTAGAAGACCTCCAAAGCCCATTCCAGCTCTATGATTCTATGCTGCATGTTTCTTCAATCCATGAGAACCAATTGCTAGTTCCTTCTCCTTTCTTTTACTTACTTAACCAGGGAGGGTGAAAACGGACTCCCCGGGCTCTGGAGTCTCTCTGGAAGCCAGAAACAGGCCCATTTCCGTCTTTCTGGAGCCTCTGGGAGGCCCGGTTTTTGCCCTCCCCGAGCCTCCGTGCATGCCCTGCACTTACCTGCATCCAAAACGGGCCACGTGTGGACTCCTGGGAGGGGCAGGGTGGGGTGGGCGGGGCCAGCCAGGAGTTGGATTTGGGAGTTTTCTGAGCTGCACAGAATCTTAGCTAGGGGCTCTCCCAAACCCCTGCAAACCCCCAGTAGCCCCACCCCTGGTTATATCAGACTGAGGAGCTATTTGTTACTACTTCACATTGCTGATTCTGTCTTAGGACAGTGGAGTCCTTGGTGCTCGCTGAGTTATCTTGAGGGTCCAGTTTGACTCATGAGGCCTATCTACCTGATGGCTTAATGGAGAGTCTTTTCTGGAATGCTGTGCCAATGAACCTCTACTCAATGTGATGTAGAAAAATATTTCTTTTGGGTATAAAACTATCTCAAGCCAACTGCCCTGAATAGTTTATACCCAGAACCAGGCATCTTGGCCATAGAGAGCCCAGTTCAAGCACCCCCTCCTCATCCAAAAAGAAAAGAGCCCCCAAACCTGGTCTTTCTTTGCCGATAAAACAATTCCCTCAGAGTATGCAGATGTTTCTAGTTTGAACTACATCTCCAAGAGGGATCCTGTTGAGCTAGGAAAGTTGCAGAAAGAGACCAATGGAATTAAGAAGTTCTGACTTTAATTCCCATGGCAAAATAACAGGAGGTACGATTGGGGTATGTAAAACTATAGGATTTGATGTGAAGAAATTCTCCGCATCACAAATTATCCATCCCAAGATTGTCCATTGGAACTACATTATGCAGAAAGATTCAGGACAGCTAATTTAACCTACGGAATTCTCTGCCATAAGACAGGGTGAACATGACATACAGAGCCAGTTGCAAAGGGGATTAGACACATTCAGGGAGGAGGACGATATCCATCATCCACAGTCATGGTGGCTTTGCATTGACTTCAGCAACAGAGGAGGAAGGCACCTCGTTCCCTGTTTCTGGGGAGCAGGATGACCGTGGTGCTTTTCAACGCCGCTTTGATTGAGGGTCACCTGGGAATAATGTTCTGAACTGGTTTCCTCCTTTGGTTGTTACAATTTCTTGGAAGTAAATAAAAGATCACCTACCCCCTTACCTACCACAAGGGAGACCCTCTAAAACGTTGAGCTTTGAGATTTCGGGTTGGTGTGCTCCCTGATGTGCTTAATGACAATACTGTTGTACCTGGTTTGCTCTTCATTTTGCTTTTGAGTCCCTTGCAATTTCTTTAACCTTTTGCATGTGTCTAAAAATTTGGCAGAGATCCATCGCCCGCAAACCAAAACCTTTAAGCTCATTCTGAAGATGCTGTTCACTCTAATTCTTCACTAATTCAGGTACCTTTCATCTGAATTCTTTAGGGTCTGTGGGGTTCACCTTAAAAGGACAGTGTTCATTCTTTTCTTAATAACAACAGTAATAATTCCAAGATCTTTTCTTACCAATGGAAGAGAAAAGTGGGAGGAGGAGGGGGGGGAACTCTCCCATCCCTTTATGATTGACTGTAGGAGATGTTGCCATAAATACTGGCTCGTTCAGCTCGTTCCTGAAGAATTAAAGGTGAAGAGCACTTGGTTGTTTGCTTGCTTTTTTTCCTCCTGTTGTCTTTCATGGCCCTGATTTGCTTTTATAGCTTGATCTTATTTTTGTTAAACGTTTTTAATCGCACTAACAACAGTTGCCTGCTCCCTGCTCCTTTCTTTTGCTATGAACCATCTGACAACATCTGTTACTTATCCCTCTTTCCCTAACATCTCATCGTCGCCCCTAAAATTAAGTTCCAGTATTAGTTGCAAGAATGCATGCTTGGCATAGTGCCGTTTCCCCCCCTTTTTTGTTTCCGCCACAGTTTTGAATGTGCTGCTGTAAAAACAAAGCAAAAAACATTTGCCTGCATGGTTTTAATTAGCTGGCCTTTCCGGCTGAATCGTTTGCGTTAACAGACATGGTGGATGAGCTGAAGGCCAGACATTTATGTAAAAAAAAAAGCACAATCTGGAGTTGGTGTAGTCTTCTTTTGTTTAAAAAAAAAGTTAAGAAATCCAGTCTGTGGAGATTCTCAGTTATCCAGGTCATGATTGTCCCAAAAGTGCTTTTTTTCCCCCAAGAGGCAACTGGGACTTTGTTTTTCCCTGAAGATGTTTTGCTTCTCATTCAAGAAGCTTCTTCAAGTTCTCCAGAATTAAAGTTCTCCAGAACTGAAGAAGCTGCTTGGATGAAGAGTGAAATGTCTTCAAGAAAACAATCAAGAAAGTCCAGTTCCTTTTTACGAAAAGCACCTTTGGGGTTAAGAAACCCGGGTGGGTTTTGTTTTTTTAACAAAGTAATATTTTGCAACAAATCTACTTTGGTTGCCCTCACCCCAAAAGGTGATATTAAGGTGGAAATAAATTCGTTATTGTAAATTGTCCAGAGTCTCTTAGGGGAGTGAGATGGGCTGTGTAGAAATTTAATAAATAAATATCATTGTATATAGAAAATATAGAGAACATGTTGGAAAAATTTTGCACAGTATACCCTTTTCTTTCTTGTCCACATGTAGCTCAGCAAAGCATGATCTGCTCCAGTCCAAGAAAAAAACCAAGAAACTTTGTGCAAGATTTAATCTTTGTCCCTTCCTCTTTTGCCTAGATATTAATGACATCACTGAGATGCAAGGATATGGTGCTGGCTTCTTTTCATGGCAGCTGGACCACTACAGTCAAGGTTCCTTATGTCTCTCATGCTCCACAGCTGGCTCTCCACACCTCCCCAGCTGCTGCACTTGTATCCATGACAGGTGAAGTAAACTCTTTAGAACAAGGGACTCCAAACTTGGCAATTTTAAGACTTGTGGACTTTAACTCCCAGAATTCCTCAGCCAGCTATGCTATGCTGGCTGAGGAATTCTGGGAATTGAAGCCCACAGATCTTGAAGGGGCTGAGGTTGAGAAACATTGTCTAAGCTGAGAAACTAAGAAGGGTCAGGTCTGGTTAATTCTTGCATGTGATAGCACCAGGCCAATAGAAGGCTAGGAAATTGATTGACATTCTGGAAATGACAACCTAGCTTTGTACTGTTGCTTAGCATGCTTGCTAAAAATTGTGCTCAACTCAAAGGAGGTTTTCCTTTTTTAAAACCATGCCAAAAGCTACCCGTGGTTTAATTTAGTTCAAAAATTCATTACTTTACCTTAAAGTAATTGCTGACTACCAGCTGAATGTCAGCAATATCATGTGTCCTAAGAGTGGAAGTAGCGGTGGTGCATACTAAAATAAAGGGGGTTTGATAGTGCATACTAAAATAATGGGGGCATAGGGAATGGAGGGATATCTTTCATTAGATTTATTCAAGTGGAAGCTAAACAGCCTTTTGCAGGAGAAGCTTTAATGTGGATTTGTGCACTAAAAAGGGTTAGACTCCATGGCCTAATTGCTCTTTCTAATGCTAATTCTAGGTCTTTACCTTGGTTGGGTGTATGATGGGCACCTGGTCAGGGGAGAGGACAACGAGAACTAGTGGCTAAAATGTCAGGTTAACAGTAGGAGACCCTAGATTTAAATGGACTATGATATTCTCATTGTAATTACACTGTGAGGTGATTAGCCCATCTCAGCTTGTTGAACCATAGTGAAGACACTGCAGAATAATCCTTATTACAACATCTTTAGGACCTTTGGGGAGATGGATAAATGAGAGGCAAAGATAGTTGTTGTTGGTAGAATAAATGTGTTTGATGCATGTGTTCTGAATGTTGCTCTTTTTTCCTAACAGGACCCCTCTAAAACTGTTGTGTGAAAGTATGAAGAGACAGATTGTTTCCAGAGCCTTCTATGGATGTAAGTTCTGTTTGTGAGGCTGGATCCCAGCTGAACATCAAACTAACTGCCCACCACATCTGGTGCCATCCAGGCAAAAACATCCATAGAAGGGCTCAAAATGAGGAAGTTGGTGGACAGAGCAGAGGTTGAGAAACACCTCAAGTGTTAGGGGAGGCCTCAAGTGCAGAATTAGCCTTGAATCCTTGTGTACCTGCAAGTGATCCAGAACAGATATCTCTTAAGCTCCATACAACCTTATCTGTCTGTTCCTAGGGGAAGGCTGGTACCCTGGGAAGATTCCTGTGAACATAATAAAGTAATTGACTTGAACCCTATGTGTGGGGATCTAGTTGCTTGTAGCTGACAGCAACCAAGACCAACCCCCTCCTTTTTATTATGTGTGTTGACATTGCACATACATGGAAAACAGGCAAGGGTTTGTATCTCAGTGCTCTGTCCACCATCTTGCTAATTTTGATCGCTTCCCTCCCTCACATGGTCACCAATGTAATTGCATACACCATTTTTATTTATGAAGAAAATGTATATGGCTGCCCAGTTCACTCACAATTCACTGAGAGGCTCAAGAAGTAAAACCTCAAATACAAAACCCAACTCTTTGGTGGCAAGAATCAAACCAACCACTTGATGGTCTCTGTATCACCCTGTGGGCCCCCAGATCCATAGGAAAGATGTTTCGCAGGGAGGGAGCCACCATGGAGAAGGTCCTTCTTCTTCATCCCATTAGATGGACCTCCTTCAGAGCGTGGATCTGTAACATACTGTGTCTCCTCACTCTGGTAGGTCAGGTAAATGTAACTGAGAAAACATGGTCCTTCAAATCAGGGGTTGCCAACCTTTTGGACCTCAGGGACCACCAAACTCATGATTTTAAATCCCACAGACCAGAGAAAGTCTGCAGGAAAATTCCCTACCCCATTTTCCTATCGATTGATCATTCTTTATTTGGGATCACAGGATACCATATCCAACTCTGTTTCAGGGGAAGAGAGAGAGAGAGGGAGGGAGGGAGAGAGGGAGAGAGAGAGAGACTTTTGGCTTCATGCAAGGAAAGCAGCAGAAGCAGCAGAAGTCTTTTTCTCTCTCTCCCAAACTCCGCCAGAAATGAGTCTTCGTGAGACTTGTCACGCTGGCGCAGCCTCTGGGAGCAGGATGCCTTGCAGGGTCCCAAAGACTCGTTTCTGGTGGAGTTTTGGGGAGAGAAAGAAAGACTGTTGCTGCTTTCCCTGCGTGCAGCCAAAAGCAGAAGAAGAAAGAAGCGGAAAGAAGCAGCCGGTGGCCAGGCTAGGCGTGTGGGGCAAGTTCCCCTCCTCCGCCTTTTCCCTCTCCCCTCACTATATCATGTTGTTTGCAATGCAAGCGACGAAAGCCTTGTGTTCCCACGCAGCCTGGATTAATTGCTTTGGGGGGTGTTTTGGGAGTGACATTTCTCTGCGGACCACCAAAATTTTCTTGCAGACCACCAGTGGTCCCCGGCTCCCTAGTTGGCGACCACTGCTTCAAATAACACTGCAACTTCCATCAGCCTCAGCCAGCATTACTGATGCGTGGCCAGGTTGAAAAAGGTGCACCTCTGAACCAGGGCCAAGAGCATGGATTTCTCACCTAAAGGACTACTATATATTTATTGGCCTTCATGTGCCTCTGAATGGTACCAGACTGGGGGGAAAACCAAACAGCCATTTTGTGTGCTTTTTATGGTCAAGAGAGAAGTCTATATTTGAGAAGATGATGGATTGGAAATAGATCGACATTATGATGTTTGAGAGAATTGTTTTGAGTTTGCTTAGGATTTAAGTAAAAATCTTCCTGGTCTGTAGCCTTAGGAAATAATCTTCATATTGGGAATGATCAGAACATTTTTTTTAAAAATATTGGGACATTTCAATAGAATAAAAATATACAAAATTAAAAGATTAAGAACAAAATAGAAAATAAGAACAAAATAGACAGAAAATTAAAAATTATTATTTCTGTCCTTTTTTATTAAGTAATGATTATCTTATTCTTTCCCCTTCCTCTTTGATTCTTTTTACTCCTCAAAGCCATGAATCATCAGTTCAATCTTTTCTTCTTTCAACAAAAAAGTCCATATAAAATTTTCTGTCTTTTTTAAAAAAAAAGTCTTTATATTTCTTCCTTAACTAAATTGGTCAACTTTGCCTAACTCTCCATCAGTTTTGTAATCCAATTTTCTACTGTGGACAGTTCCCTATTTTTTCATCTTTGTGCGTGCAATAATTTTGCCTCAGTTACCATCTACAATATTAGTTTCCCATATATCTTTCATTCATAAAATCCGATAAAAATTCCAGTTTCATTGTAATAGTAATCTGCAGTATCTTTTGCATCGTTGTGCGAGCTTGCACCTGAAATTTCTTTGGTTTTTTTTTCAGAAATCCACCATGCATGATTAAAAAAAAAAATTCCTCTTCCTTTTCACATTTCCAACACTGGTTTACTATTTCTTATCTATTTTTGACAATTTACCTGATGCCAAATATCAACAATACATCATTTTATAAAAGTTTACCCATAAATTTTGACACAATGTAAATTTATATCAGCTTCCTACATTTTTAACCATGCACCCATATTTATACGATAACCAAACTTTGCAGCTTGAGAATAATCAAAATTCTGTACTGTAATCCCAACCCCAATGACCTCCCTTCCACCAGAAGTCTGCTATTTTAAGCCAAGTTCATTTATTACTTTTTACAAGCTTGCTGCCAGCCAGGCCACTCCTAGAGTGTGCTATAAAATAGTCAACAAATTGCTGTTGTCTCAGAGCAATTCCTGGGAAAGCAAGTTGGACTGTGTAAGATCTAAATTTAATGACAGTGGCTAAAGACATCTGATAAATTTCAGTTAGAACAATTTCAGTTAGAGGAATACAAGTAGCCCTCAATTTATGATCATTCATTTAGTGACTGAAGTTGGAACACTGCTGAAAAAAGTGACTTACATCACTTTATTAAGGAGCTGGGGTGGCTCAGCAATTAGAATGCAATATTGCAGGCTGACTTTGCCCACTGCCAGCAGTTCGATCCTGACCAGCTCAAAGTTGACTCAGCCTTCCATCCTTCCAAGGTCAGTAAAATGAGGACCTAGGTTGTTGGGGGCAACAGGCTGACTCTGTTAAACTGCTTAGAGAGGGCTATAAAGCACTGTGAAGCTCTATATAAGTCTGAGTGCAATTGCTATTATTGTCACAGCGTCCCCATGATGACATGGTCAAAATTTGGACATTTGGCAACTGGCGTGTATTTATGACGGTTGCCATGTCCCAAGATTATGTGATTGCCTTTTGCGACTTTCCCAGTTGGCTTCCGAGACACAAAGTCAATGCGGGAAGCTGGATTAACTTAACAAATATCTGATTCATTAATAATTATGGGACTTGCTTAATGACCTCCAACCAAAAGTTTGCAAAATTGGGCCCAACTCCTTTAACAACTGCCTCGCTTAGGAAAGGTGTTTCTGGTTCTGAACTTGGTCATAAGCTGAGGACTGCACATACACTGCCTCCTGTTGGTCAGTAGGTCACAATAATGCCATCATACTTTGCTGGTTTGAACAATGAATGCCAGACATGTTCAATGTGTATGTTGTCTTTTCCCTCCACAGGGCTTGCTCACTGCCGTCACTTGTCCACTGTCCGAACTCACTTGTCTGCGTTGGTGAACCATTCCATCATCCCACCGGATAAACCCACGAGTGCTGCTGAGGGATTGACCAAAGAGGTCTGGAGCAAGTACCAGAAGGATAAGAAGGCAAGGCTGTGTAGATTTATATTTAGAGAGCCCTTGATTGTGACTGTTCGTTTAGAGCAGGGGTGCCAAACTCAAGTTTCATTGAAGACCACGTGTTCTGACTCAGCCGGGTTCCCAGAAAGCAAACACAGACAAACTCAGTAACACAAACCTTCACAGCTTTAATCTACAAATAAACTTCTTTGTAGATAAAAGATGCCTTGCAGCCAATTAGTCCAACCAGAAAAGCCTTGACAGAATTCTTCAGATAAGCCAGTATCACTACACACAATGCTGGGTCCCTAGAGCTTCTTAGAACATTTTTGCGTTCTACAGAGCAAAAACCCTTTGAAACCAGGCTTATGTTCCCTGGAGGAATATAATTAGCATTCTTACTTCCGAGTCGCCTGTGCTGCTCTTCTATGAATCATCCTGCGCTCACGCGCACTTACCACAGGCTCCTTGGGAATGTCCTCCTCACTGCTGCCGGCTAACCACAATACCACATCAGGGTTGTGTTTGACCTCAGGGGGGCTTGGGTGGGTGTGGCTGGGGTGGGCATGGCCAGATCAACGTCACTCATTTCATACCTGTGGTGGCCCAAGTGCTCTGCCAGCAAAAACAGGCTCTTGAGTTCCATTCTCGGCTGCGGCAGCCTCCTGAAACATTCTGCCAGTGAAAATGGAGCTCGCGAGGGATGCACGCGGCCCTCCCAAGCTTCATTTTAACTGGCAGAGGCACCGGGGACCGGTCCTTTGCTGTTTCCAGGGTAGCCCCGCAGGCCAGATCTAAGCACTCGAAGGCAAGGGTGGGATTCTACTGGTTCGGCCCGGTTCTATAGAACCGGTAGCTCCGAAGAGCAGCTGACACCGAGCCAGTTCTATCTGAATCTCCCTCTCTGATCTTCTTCTCTTTGGTTGGGCCCACCTGCCTGCCCGGGCTCTAGGCTGTCCTTTATTCTTACCTTAGTTGCTTTGCGCATCAGCAGCAGCTGAGTGCCGCGCATCAGCAGCAGGTGGTGATTGCTTGCAGGAGAAGTTGTTTTGCAAGTACTGTGCGTGCGCACCCAGCTCAAAGTGCACGCTCACTGAACCGGTTGTTACGCTGGGAGGATCCCACCCCTGCTTGCAGGCCTTGAGTTTGACCCTCCTGGTTTAGAGACTCTTCCACGTTACGATGCGGCTGAAATAAATAATGGTGGTGGTGGTTTGTTCTCCGAGCTTGTTGTTCAGTTTCCAAACGTTTCGTCAGCAGACTTGTTAAAGTTCAGTGGATGACGTTACCCAGCCTGGTGACAAAACATTCAAAACTTGAACAAGAAGCGCAGAGAACAAACTACCACCAACGTTTGAAATAGTATAGGGTCTCTTCCTGGAGTAGGGGGTTGGACTAGAAGACCTCCAAGGTCCCTTCTAGCTCTATTCTGATTGATTGATTGATCTACCACTTGAGCTATAAATATTTCCCACCATTTCTAAATAATTATGGACTATCCTGCACTTGCAATCATTTCAGTATCCCCACAATCAAAATGATTGTGATCTGGAAGCTCGGCAACTGGCTTCTTGATAGCTGCTGTTGTCCTTAATGGCTCAAATAAAACTTGCATTTTCAGTGGCGCCGTATCTCTGAACATGGAATAATAATAACACTAGAGGTCTTTGGCATTGGGCGAGCAGCAATTTTAAATAAACAAACAATGCCTATTTTAGAGACATTGGCTGACCATTGTGTGCTGGACTGGATGTAGCTTTCTTTGATCCAGCTGGATTTCCTTATATTCTTAAGCGGAATCATTCATCACATGATGTTTCATTAAGAAAAGTTCTAGATTGCAGATTTGTTCTCCTTTTCTTGACCCTAAATGGAACAATCCATGCGTAAGAGAGAATTTGTCAGCTTCTTGATGAGAGGGATTAGCTTTCTGCCCACAGAATTAATTTTAAGAACTGGGAAGGGGGAAATGGAAGATGGTTTGATTGGCTATCCTGGATAACAAATAGTCTCCCACTACTATACTATTTACTTATTTATTAGATTTTTATCCTATTTTTATTATTTCACAAGTAACAAGAAAGCAAATGTACCCAATATTCGTCCTCCTATTTTACCCACAGCCACAAACCTGTGAGGTGAGTTGGGTTGGGTTGAGAGTGAGTACCTGGCCCAAAGTCACCTAGCTAATTTCCATGCATAAGATGGGACTAGACTCAGAGTCTCCTGGTGATTGGCCTAAGTCACCTAGGTAGCTTTCATGCGAAAGGTGGGACTAGAACTCACAATCTCCTGGTTTCTAGCTAGGTGTCTTAACCACTAGACCAAACTTGTTGTGCATTTTTGACTTTGATCAAATCCTAATTTTACAACCAACTCCATCTAAGCAAATAGTTGCCTTACCATATGAATCAGTTATCTTTAGCTATAAAAAAAGGGAAGCTTTTCCATCTCTGAGCTGGTAGGTGTTAGCTAAATTTCCCATAATTTCTCTGTGTCAATCTCACTCTCAATCTCACTTCCTTACCTATTAGAATTACAAGGAATTGGAGCTGCTGCGACTAGTCTACTACGGTGGGGTGCAACATGACATTCGGAAGGAGGTGTGGCCATTCTTGCTGGGACACTACAAGTTTGGCATGAACAAGAAGGAAATGGAGCTGGTACTTGTTTGTCTTCAGTATTTCCAGGACGGGTTCTAGAAGATGATAATCCAATTTATCGGGAGGCTCAGTCATACGATATACAGAGAGATTCTAGCTTCAGGCCCAGCATTTTGGTTAAAAGGACGAGAGGATGGGAAAGACTTCTCATGATGTCCCTGAAAAACCATTCTCAGTTGCAATAAGAAAATACTGAACTTTGCAAAGTTTGTTGGCTGGGATTTTGAAAAGCACAACAAATGGAAATGTTGACTGTCCCCCTAGATTTTTCATCATGAGAACTGGAAAACACACCCAACAAGCTCAATGTGACCTTCAGTGTTTCCGCTTAGGATCAAGCAAATTTGTCACAGATTGTATCTTGTAGAACAGGGGTCTTCAAACTTGACAGCTTGAAGACGTGTGGACTTCAACTCCCAGAATTCCTCTTCCAGTCATGTTAGCTCAGGAATTCTGGGAGTTGAAGTCCACAAGTCCTAAACTTGCCAAGTTTGAAGACTCTTGCTGTAGAAGATGACCAGACTGAGCCTGAGGGAATGCGTCATCAGTCACGAGTCCCTTTGCACCCACAACAGATCTAAGTCCAGTCATCGTGAATTCCTTACCTACTGCCAAATTGCTTTGCCTGTTAGTAGTTCAGATTCTTGTAGGGAGCTTAAGCTTACCGTAAATCTTTATACCCATTTGAATTACCCAAATCTCCTGATTTCCCTGGTGGTTGTCTATCATTCTGTGGAATTGCTAGCCTGAAATAAATTCTTCTCTTCCTTCTTCAGGTGGACGGGGACATTGTACGCCGATACCAGAAGGTGATGAGTGAGTGGAAAGCCTGCGAGGTGGTGGTGAAGCTTCGGGAGAAAGAGTCTCAGACGACCACCAAGTTTTCCTCCGGGAGCAGCATAGATAGTCACGTGCAGCGGCTGATCCACAGGGACTCCACCATCAGCAATGATGTAAGACAGAGCGGGGGAAACAATGGCCTTTTTATGACATGTGGACTTCAATTCCCAGCTTGGCTGGCTCGGGAATTCTGGGAGTTGAAGTCCACAAGTCATAAAAGGGCTATTGTTCCCCACTCCTAATGTAAGATGATGGATTGGGTCCATCAGTCAAGTCACATCTCACTCTGTCGTAAAAAAAAATCTGCAAAGTAAACACCAAGCAGCTGTCATATCCTTCCATATTTTTATATTTTAGGATTAACCAAGCAGTCTTTGGCGTACAACCATTTCTTTATTCAAGATTAAACCATTCAAGATTAAACAAAAATTGCACTTATAGGTGGTCCTCGACTTACGACAACTGAGCCCAAAATGTATGTTGCTAAGACAGTCGTTAAGTGAGTTTTGGCCTCATTTTACGACCTTCCTAGCCACAGTTTTTAATTGGATTAACAAGTGCAGTTGTTAAGTTATTAACACGATTGTTAAATGAATCTGGCTACCCCATTGACTTTCCTTGCCAGAAGATTGCAAAAGATGATCACATGATCCCAGGATGCTGCATCTGTCATAAATATGAATCAGTTGCCAACCATCTAAATTTTGATCGCAAGGCCATGGGGATGCTGCAACAGTCGTAAGTGTGAAAAACGGTCATAAATAACTTTTCAGTGCCATTGTAACTTTGAATGATCACTGAATGAACTGTTGTAAGTTGGGGATTAGCTATATAATCACAGCAACAGCAACATTGGGGTGCTTGGCAACCAGCATGTATTTACAACGATTGTGGTGTTCTGGGGTCATGGGATCACCATTGGCTACTTCTGCTGACTGTCAGCTGCCAGCAGTTCGATCCTGACTGGCTCAAGGTTGACTCTGCCTTCCATCTTTCTGAGGTGGGTAAAATGATTGTCGGGGGCAACAGGCTGACTATAAACCGCTTAGAGAGGACTGCACAGCGCTGTAAAGCAATATATAAGTCTAAGGGCTTTTGCTATTGGCCATCTTCCCAGCCAAAGACAGAGAAGGAAGCCGGTTTCATTTAACAACGGCAGCAATTTGCTTAACAACTGTGGCAAACAAGTCATATAAACCAGACACAATTCACTTAACAACCCCCTTGATTAGCCATGGAAATTCAGGTGCCAATTGTAGTCATACAAGATACAACTGCTACATCTAAGGACACCATTCAATGTTTCCCTTGCTCTTTGGTCTCCTAACAGCCACTCTCCAAAAGTAGAAGCTTCAAACAAATGTTATGGCATCACATATTTTCTTGGGAAAAAAGTATCCAGCTAGCTATTCCATCTTTTGATTCAGCTATATTGATCCAATTTGTGTTTTTCCAGGTGTCCCTTTTATGTTCTGAGTATGCTCGGGGGTTTATTGGATTACATGGGGAGGATTATATAATTATTTTTCTCGATATTGTAAATCTTGGGATTCTTTCAGCTGCGCTGTTAACTTCCTTTTTAGACCCCATAAGTTCCCTTAGATCCCATAAGCTCCTTTAGATCCCATAACACACACACACTCCGCCGCCAAATTTGGTTATAATTTCCTTGGCAGATGCCACCTGCATTTTCTTTTAGAAGGAGTGGAAAAAAGGAGCCGTGCAAAAATTAAATCTGCTTCTATTTTGTTCTGAACTCCAGCTGTTTTGTTCTTCAAAACACTTGGTTTCTCCTTTGTTCTCCTCTTAACAATCATGCCACTTTTTGTGACTTGGGCATCTTATGGCCCCCAGACCATATCCAGCCCTTTGGGGCTGCCCTTGTCTGACCCACATGGATTCCTTTTATTTTGAAGGGGCTATTTTCCCTCCCAATTTACCCATGTGCCTGAATGCATGCCTACACTCTACACAGACAGGCAAGACACCAGCATATAAATTGACAGCAAACAGCACTCTTTTACTAGCACTGAGAATGTTACCTAGTTAGGTAATGAAACGTCTGCAAGAAAATAAGCAAGCTCAGAGAGCACCAAGAGTACATACATGCCTACGCATCTTCACAGCCCTGTTGGTTTGGCCCTCCACCACAGCCCCAGTTTCTCATGTGGCCTCTTGGGACAGTTAATTGCCCACCCCGTCATGGACCATGCTGTCTTTCGGTTAGCCAGTTTGGGGGAGAGGGTTTTTTCCTCTTGGCCAAAAAAATCTGGAGGAGTCAGGTAAGTCTTTTTCCAGTTATGGATAGTCCTCTACTTGCAACCACAATTGAGATGCCTTTTAGCAAGAAGCTAAATAGATCGATCACACATGGAAGTTTAATGGGTTTTCCACCCTGCATGGAAATTGGATGACTTCAAGGGCTTGCCTCCAGAAGTTGTGGGTGCTTCCATCACTGGAGGATTTTAGAAAGAGATTGGACAACCATTTGTCTGAAATGGTGTAGGGTTTCCTGCATAAGCAGGGGGTTGGATTAGAAGACCTCCAAGGTCCCTTCCAACTCTGTTATTCCTTCAGTTCTGTGGCTATGTTTGCACCTCACATTTTTATTTTATTTATTTATTTATTTATTTATTTGATTTGCCAATTGTTTACAAGATAATAAGTATAAGTGTATACATAGTTGTGAATACATGAAATGGGTACATATAAGAAAAATAAAAGAAGAATAAGAGAAACAATAGGACAGGGACGGTAGGCACGTTGGTGCGCTTATGCACGCCCCCTACAGACCTCTTAGGAAAGGGGTGAGGTCAATAGTAGACAGTCTAAGGTTAAAGTTTTTGGGGTTTGGGGAAGAAACTACAGAGTCGGGTAGAGTATTCCAGACATTGACCACTCTGTTGCTGAAGTCGTATTTCCTGCAATCAAGTTTGGTGCGGTTTACTTTGAGTTTGTATCTATTGTGTGCTCTTGTGTTGTTATGGTTGAAGCTGAAGTATTCATTGACAGGTAGGACATTGCAATGTATGATTTTATATACCATGCTTAAATCAGACCGAAGACGGCGTAATTCAAGGTTTTCTAGTTCTAGAATTTCAAGTCTGGTGGCATAAGGTATTCTACAACGAGTAGAGGAGTGGAGAACTCTCCTAGTGAAATATTTCTGGACTTTCTCAATTGTGCTAATATCAGATACGTAATGTGGGTTCCAGACTGATGAACTGTATTTGAGTATTGGTCTAGCAAATGTTTTGTATGCTCTGGTTAGTAGTGTGATATTCAACTTGCTACAAACCAAGAGCTGAGTTCACCCACCGTGAAAATACTAGTTTGAAACTTGGTCATTATTTTGTGGCTCAGACTGGCATGTGAATTTGATGCTCTATGGTTCAAGGCTACAGCAAGGACCAGGGGATGAGTTAATCCACTAAGTATGGTCAGCAGTGTTGTGAGAAGAGAGAGCCTATCACTCTTTTCTTCAATTAATTAAGAGCCCTGGTGGCACATTGGTTACAATACAGCATTGCAGGCTGACTCTGCTCACTGCTAGCAGTTTGATCCTAATCTGCTCAAGATTGACTCAGGCTTCCATCCTTCCGAGGTCGGTAAAATGAGGACCCAAATTGTTGGGGGCAATATGCTGTAAAAGCACTATGGAGCGGTATACAGGTAGTCCTCGACTTACGACCACAATTGAGCCCAAAAGGTTTGTTGCTAAGTGAAATATTTGTTAAGTGGTTTTTGCTCCATTTTATGACCTTTGTTGCCACAGTTGTTAAATTAGTAACTTGGTTGTTAAGTGAATCTGGCTTCCCCATTGACTTTGCTTGTCAGGAGATTAGAAAAGGTGATCACATGGCCCTGGGAAACAGCAACTGTTGTAAATGTGAATCAGTTGCCAAACATCTGAAGTGACCATGGGGATGCTGCAACGGTTGTAAGTGTGAAAAACGGCCATACGTAACTTTTTTCAGTGCCATGGTAACTTCGAACAGTCACTAAATGAACTGTTAAATGTAGAATAGAATAGAATAGAATAGAATAGAATAGAATAGAATAGAATAGAATAGAATA